TAGACTTTAACTTAATACGGCGAGTACTTAGATTAATAATCTAGCCCGTAAAAATATTTATAATTATTAAAAAAAGAGGCTAAATTTCTATTAATACGTAATAAGTCGTATAGAATCTTATTAAAGTTATATATATCTTTCTAGTTTTAATAATAAGCCTCTATTAGAGAAGTTATATAGTCTCTTAAGATAGTACGATCTAATTATATTAATATTCTAATAAATCTTATTTTATTTCAGCGGAGATATAAGATCTTTTAGCTATAAATATATATTAGCGATTTTTTAATATCGAAAATATAATAGATTATTAACTAGCTAATTAGTCTTTATAGATATTTAAATAAATATTATTATAATATTATAAGTAATTACTAATATAGCTATATCGTATAATAGAACTATAGCTAATCTATATATAAAGAATTTATATAATTTATTAATATATATATTATTATCGTAGTAGAGAATTAAGCGAGATTTTTATAACTAATATAACTATAACTTTATCGCGTAATAAATAACCTTTATTTCTTTAAATTATATATCTTTAGAATAATAATATATAACTATTTTAATATTAAAAACGTCTTTAAGCTAAATCGATTAAATATAATTAAGATAATTAAGAATATAGCCTTCTATATTAAATTTTTTAGATATATTAATTTATATATATTATATAACTTAACTATTAACGTAACGTATTAAGATAACGCTATTTTAATACTTTAAAAAGATATTCTACTATAGTAAGTCTACTCTTATATTATCTATAATCTATATAATTACTATAGACCTTCGAAGAGTATTAAAAAGTTATCTTAAGAATACTCTTTCTAGAATTATAACTTTAATAGCGAAAGAGAGAAAGTTAATTATTAACTCGAGCTTCTAATATAAGATAATTTTTTTTAAAAGGTTTTTAATCGTAATTCTTATCTTAGCTAGCTTATTTAAGAGAAGTTTTATCTATATATAAATACTATTAAATTTAATTTCTAGAAACTCAATTATAAAATCTATAATATTCTTTATATAATTAATTTAAAGATTTAATTCGCTATATAATTAATCGAATTACTAGATATATATAATTATATTATTATCTAATAAAAGAATTATAAAGAAATTATCTAGATAATAAAGTATTATTTCTTATAGAAGAATCGCGATTAAGATTTAAGTAAGGGCCTTTATAAAGAGATTAAATAGAAATAATAATATACGTAATTTAAATAATAGATATCGTTTCTTTTAATAGTATTTATCGTAATTAAAACTTAGTAGTTATTAATTCGATATAATAATAAGTATATATCTAAAGATATCTTTAAAATCTCTTTTAATAAATTAAGCCTTTAAGTCTTTCTATAATAATACTATTACTACGTTATCGTATATAATATATTTTAATATACTCTACTTCGTCTAAATATTATTATTAACTAAGTAATTATATAGAAATGAAAGATTATAAATTTATCTTTAATCTTTATTATATTTCGATATTAAATCGAATAGCGAATAGATATAATAAGACTCGTTTTAAAAGTTAATCTCGATTAAGCGATATTATTAAAATTATTTTTAAAGATCTATCGATAGTATTTAAAATATTTAACGTGCTAATAAATAATTTTAATTATAATAAATTAGAATATAGTCTTAAAAATTTATCTTAACGCTCTTTCGAAGAATAGTTAAAATAATCTTAATAAATATTAGATTCGAATATTTATTTAATTATTTAAATTAATTATTAATTATTAACGATCTCTAATAGAGTAAATTCGAGTTTAATAGATTATATAGCGCGTATAAGAATTTCTTAGATATATACTATAGCGATTAAGGTATCTACGAATATTTTAAAAGTTATTTTATCTTAATAATATAGTTATCTAATAATAAATAATTAAAACTATTTATAGCTAGATTTAAGACCTTAAGGTACTTATCTATCGAATAATTTTACTAATAGATTATATAAATATATAAATAAATATAGCGCTCGCGAAAATAGCTACCTTTATTAAAATTCTTATAAATTCTAATTTCTTTAATAATAGACTTATTAAGGCTAGGCGTAGCGGTATTTAACTTACTATTACTTATATAAATCTCTTTAAATATAAGAAGATCTTTATAGCTCTAATTATTAGCTTCTTAAATCTTAAAATTATTTTAATTACTTTAAATATATATAATAATAAAAGCGAGATAATAAGCGAGAATAGAGTTAAATTTATAAATAAGAGATAGTCGTAATAGATAAATAATATATATATATAAAGTCTTATTTAAGTCTTTTTTTACGCTAACGTATATAAAGCGACTAGCGGCTATCGAGTATATATAAAAATAGTATATTATATAATTATAATTATTAATATTTTTATTCTCTTTAATTAAAATAATATATATATAGACTAGTTTAGCGAAATTTTTAATCTTAAAAATCTCGAAGAAGATTTATTTAAAGTACTTAATATTTATACTTTAAAACCTTTTAATAATATTAAGAAAGAGCTTCTTATCTTTTATATAACGAAAGGGGATTTCTCTTCTTTTCTTCTAATTCGACTTAAAGTCGAATAAATTCGAATTTAATATATTCGAGTAACGATAACGATAATTACGACTATAACGATAATAATAATAATATAACTTATAAACTCTACTCTTATAAAAATAGCGATTATTTTACTTCTCTTAGACCTTAAATAGCTAGACTATTAATTCTTAAAGATCTACTTTAATAATAGATAAAGGCGTTTTATTCACTTAATCTAGACTTATAATACTCGATAATATATTATATATAAGAATATTCTTATAGAGAGAAGATATTTTAATCTTAATAGCCTTAAAAGTCTTTTTAATCTTAAGGGCTTTATTAGCCTTATTAACTACGTTAAAGATCTTTTTAATAATCTTAAAGACGAAGTTAATATATTTAACCGCTTTTTTAAATCTAATAATAGCGGCGGAGACTATTATAAAGTATATAAGAGTATAGAGTATATTTATAATAGTTAGATAGTACTTATAATAGTTAAATAAAGACTAATTTATATAAACTTAATTATAAAAGAAGAAGAAAAATAATATAGCTTTAAAAGAGATGAAATCGAATAAAGAGTTATTAATAGATATAAAATAGATAACTATATAGCTTATACTAAATATCTATTCTTAATTTCTTATCGAGATATTAATAGAATATTAATAAGATATTAATAGAATTATAATATTATATAATCTATTAATTCTTAATTCTACTATAGCGAACGACTAATTAAATAGCCATTAACGCTATAGTCTTATAATGAACTTACTAATCTATAGTTCTACTATTACGAGTTATAGAGACTATATTATTATACTAAACGCTATAGCGACGAAATTCTTTATTATTATTAATAAGATTCGAGATCTCTAGCGTTAAAGAGTAAAGGATTTAATTAATAATATACTCGCTAAGATTAATTAAATCGTTTATACTCGTTTCGACGCCTTTATAATCTTATTCTATATTATCTATCTTATCTATTTTAGATATATTAACTTTAATTTTTCCGCTATCGTAATACTATTCGACTATTTTATCTTTTTATAACGTCGTATTATAGCTATTATAAATCTAGTTTATAAGATTTAAATTATATTATATAGACTTTATAATATATAAATAATACGCGATATAGCTAGCGAGCCTTATTAAAGACTAAGTAGAATTTAAATAAGAGTTAAAAGATAAGCTAAAAGGTCGTAGACTATCGAAAGAGTTATTATTAAAGAAATCTAATAATAGATCTCGCAATAGAAAGGATTTTTAATAGCGTCTTTCTCTTATTTAAAAGCTTTTTCTTAATAATATTTAGAATCTAATACGCGTTAAGAGGCTTTAAAATAGAGTAATAAAGAATAAATAGAGGAGAAAGACGCGTCTTAGAAGATAGTATCGCTAAATATATCATCGCTAGCTTAGAAGAAATCTATAAAAAAGAATATATTCGTTTAGACTCTTTTAAAGAGTCTTTTAATGCGTTTATAGTCAGTAGTAGATAGCTATTAAACTCGCTTACAGTCTCGATTATCAGTAGTAACGAATTTATCGAAAAGTAGTCTAGAGATATTAATAGAGACTTTAAGAGGCGGATAAAAGAAGTATATATATCTAAAGCGTTTAATAACGTTTCCGCGAGGGGTATCGAGAACGATTATATTTATATTAATAAAATTAATAGAATTAATAGAATAATAAAAGAAGAATAGTTATATAAATAGATGAAAGAATTATTATTCGATCTCGAACGCGTTTCGTATAACTATATTTAAATACTACTTCGCTTTATTAATAGTAAATTAAACTTTATAATTTTTATAGCGTTAGAAAGCGTAAAGCGAGCTCTATAATTTAAGAAATTATAAAGTAATTATATATATTATAAGCTAAGTACTTTAAAGTATAAAACTTCTATATATAAATTTTTAATAAGAAAGCTTAAGAGAGCTAGTAAGCTAACTTAGTCGATTTAACTAAAGAGCGTAATAACTTTAAATTAATAATTAGCTATATATATAAATTTAAGATTTTCTAACTTAGCTCTATCTTATTCTTTTATATATACTAATTTAAATATCGCTTATTAAAGTTCGCTTATTAAAGTTCGCTTATTAAAGTTCGCTTATTAAAGATCGCTTATCTATTTTCTTAATAGTTCTAATTAAAAAAATAATTATAAATTTAATTTATAGACCTTTATTCGTATATAGTAAAAGAAGAAGAATAAATATATTTAAAGAGATTTATAACTCTTCGATAAAGGTTTCGTCGAAGTCCGTGATATTACTTAATCGAGCTAGCGGTAGAAGAGTAGGGCTATTCCCGTTTTAAATTATTTCTTTTAAAAAAACTGCTAAATCTCTCTAATAACTCTAATTCCCAGCACGCACAGGCAAGTAATATCGCGCACATTATGTGAGGGCCCTCATTAGACATCTTGCGACTGATGAATGTTGAATTCTCTCTGCACGTGGATTCCTCTTGCAGGCCTGGTTGGTTTGATTTCAATTAGATCATTACCCCTCGGTGCCCAAGACCCCGGATCTTGCGATTTGTTTTCCAACGGCGTCGACAGGGCCCCAGTAGAATCTATTCCATTTAAGGGCATACGACCGTCGCCGTGAGAGTACGAACGGCTGTACTTACTAAGGACACGTGATTTGAGGCTGGAAAAGGAAGATATCTTGTACCAGGTGCGTCCCGAACCCGTTGACTTGCTGTCCTTCGATCTCGAATTCCTGATGACTTTCCCAACGAGAGGGCGCAGAGCTGGGACAGAAGCAACAAGAATCCACATGTTAAGCTCGATATCTCCGTACAGCTGAGAGTTGGTATCGTTATCTATTCATGAACGGGTTAGCAACGAATAAGGATGAAGTCATCGCATCAAGGGGCTGAACATACAAGTTGGGTCGAGCCTAGGTAAATTTAGAGCAACCACGAGCTGCCATAGTCGTATAGCCGAGATCACAGTTGCTCTTCAAACGTTGTCAGTGCTGAGTCATACGCAAGTTTCGGTGTTAAGATCCTACATGAAACCCAACAGAAAGGTACTACTGATCGAAAGCCGTTGCGAAAGAGATTGTTGGATTTGTGAGATGAAGTAAACCGGCAGCAGCAGAACGAATAGATCAAATATGAGAGTAGTAGTCTCGTTTGCAATGAACATGACTGGGTAATTGACACATTTGCTGGGTTTGGTAAACTCCCAGAATCCGTAGACAGGTACACAGAGGAAAACGCCCACTATGACCTATAGGCACATGTTAGGACCATGCTATTGTACAGGTATTGATCACTTACGGCAGAAATCATCCACGCGATATTTATTATCGCAACAATTTGCAACGGTCGTCTACCTGTCGTCATACGGAAAATGCGCCAGTATAGCGCCAAGAGAGAAAGCTTGCTGAGCGTAAGAGCGATCGGAAAAATAACAATCGATGCGTAAGCTAGTTTGAGGAAATTCTCCAGGTGAGGTACGTCAGTCTTGCTGATATTTTGTCCCAGATAATCCATTTGGACTGCTGCTATCCCTAGCGCTGTGAAAGTCCATGAGAAGAACTGCCGATATCAGTTTTGAGCAGCGGTAGGAGAGTTGAGGACCATTACTGCAGCTAGTACTATCAGCCAATCGTCTAAACCAAATTCCACATCCGTGTAGAGACGTGAGAAGCCACGGCAGATGATGGTAGTAAACGAGATGCATGTAAAAGCAATCGCAACAGTATTAAGCCCTGGTCCGCGATTGGCATTGGGGTTGAGGCCTGGGACTCGAGGGGTAGGAAACTCCATCGTGGTATTGCTCAAATCCAAAATTGAAAGGCGTGGCCCTTTCTCTGGAGAGAGGCCAACTTGAGATTAATGTAATAAAACGCCGTCTCCTCCCCCCACCTCCGGACTTTTCTGTCTGGTAGCATTGCCGCCATCTTGCAGCACACGGGGAGATAAACCCCGCGGCACAGCTGAATCATGTGAAACATGGCGGGGCAAGCTCGAAAGCCTGAACGCATGCATGGCGAAATGGAACGGACCCGTCACAGTCATGCACAGTCAGATATAGGGAGTATTGTTCTGGATGATCGTATGGGTTGTTCTTGCTACCTGATTTCGAAGCTTGGTTTACTAGTGCTTACTCAGATCTCTTGCATAATGCTCAAGTAATGGCACAGAAATTGCAAATCAAGTCACGCGCCCCTTACTTCTTGCGAGCAAGTAGTCCTTACGATACTGATTGGCCTCTGTTTCTTCATTCCGATTTAAGGCTGCCCATTTAGGCGCATTCTGATAAAGGCGCATCATATCAATATCCTGAAATATTACGTTAGCTTAAAACGACCGTCTATTTTTCTTTTCAATACGAAGATTGAATACATACGTTAGTTTCCTCAAGAGTGAATCGATGGTAGATTCCAGCAGGTAGCACAAGGAAATCACCCGTCTCAGCTTTGATTCTGACCCATTTATCATCCGCATCTCGAACATCGAAATACCCGCTGCCCTTGAGTATGTAGCGAATCTCCTCGTCTTCGTGCATGTGCTCGGTGAAGAACGTCTTCAAGACCTGCTCATAGGCTGCGGGACCGACGCTCGCAATGAGCTTAGAACTACTAATCTCATCTCGATTTGTATAATGGCGGGAAGTAGCAACGTCTTCGACAAGGGAGGCAGAATCAGGGGATGATGGTGGGAAGGAATAATAAAGAACCCCAAGCTCTGAGAGGGTTGTGGGCGAAAGCTCGGTGCCTGAGTTGTGTGGGAGGTGGGGTTCGCCCTGCCAAATGTTGTCAGCCTGCACATGTTGAATATAAGCTTAGAGACCTACAGGCTGGTTGTCGTGATAGTAGACCTTCATTTTCGATCGAACTGGGCTAAGAGGAGGTAGAAGAGAAGAGGGCTATGGCCGTGATTGCTTGTATGGTCTCAATAAACCCCAGACCAGGCAATTTGGGAATGAAGACAGAAATATTGAGGAGCTTGAGTCGGAATGAGAGTAGAGGTAGATAAGGCATGGGGTACAATACACTTTGTTATACAGCGTATTATTCCAGCTGTCGAGAGATTACAAAGCTGATGATAGTAGATCCCCAAGTCTTGATGTTGATCTCACTCCACCAGAGATATTGGACAATTAGGCACGAGGTCTGTGCTGTCGGAAATTCGGCAGGGTACCCATGCAGGGTCCAACATGTTTCGGAGTCTAGGAGAGCGAGAAGTACGATTGGGGTGCTGTTAATTCTGACCTAACTGGACGTTACACGTGTGCAAGCAGACGATCTGCGAGTCAGACTTATCGCATGCAGATCGAGGCACAGCATCAGAGAGTCTCGACGAAGACAGGATGTGAGCGTGTGACGCCAGGTAAAGGTTGCTGTACATATTTCTATGCCACATGCGTCTTTTCTGCTGTCACCTTTGACCCAACGGTCGTATATGCAAGCAGAATGATTCACGACTCGAACCTATCATATGAAGATCGAGGCACAGCATCTGCAAAGCAGCCCAATTCCGATGGTTCTAGGGATGCGGATTTGTCATATGACACGTGACGTCAGGTCAGACCTCCCTTGTTATTTGACAGTCATATGTGGCCAAATAACCGCACTAATAAATATTTATTACTATATTTACTATATTCTAATTAATTAATTAAATCTCTAGATAAATATCGAATAGTTTTAATTCGTTAAAATAGCTATCGTTCGATCTTTTACTATTATTCTATAAAGATTCTCTATCTAAATTCGACTCTTATTTAATATATAATCTCTATAAATCTTATAATTCTTTTAATTCTTCTTCTTCTTCTTTTTAATTATTATTAATTATTATAATATTCTTATAGTTAGCTAATAAGACGTTTTCCTTCTTTTTATTATTCTTATTATTATATCGCTATTACTATCGTATTACTCTATTACTTTATCTATATATTCTTTATTTATAATAACTTCTTTATATTTAAAACTCGAGCTTTTAATTATTTAAGTATTAAATAAATAATTAATATATATAAAAGAATAAGATAGAGCTAAGCTATAAAATCTTAAATTTATATATATAGCTAATTATAAATTTAAATTCGCTACGCTTTTTAATTAGATACTATAAGTAAATAAATTAACGTTAATAACTATTAAAATCTCTTACTTTACTTTTAACTATTTAATAACTTTACTATTTTCTATTAAAAATTTTAGATTTTTTTTAAAATTATAGCCCGTAGCTTACGCTTTTCGAAAATAAAAAATTTCTAAAATTTAATTTTATAATACTTTAAAGATAAGAATTTAAATATCGCTTATTAAAGATCGCTTATCATATTTACTCGATAGCTAAAAAAAATAGATTATAAACTTAATTTATAGACTTACTCATATAAATATATTATAGTTTATTTACTCGCTTCGATATAAGTCGATTATAAAGCTTCGAGTATATATAGTTTATAGTTAAAAAGACTCGCTTTAAGAATATTAAATTTACTATAATTAATTATAATCTTCGAGCTATTCTATTAAGATATAAACTTATATTAATAATTAATATATATAATAGAATAAGATAGAGCTAAGCTTAAAAATCTTGAATTTATATATATAGTTAATTATAAATTCGAGTTCGCTACGCTCTTTAATTAAATCGACTAACTTATTATAAATAAATAAATTAGCGTTCGTAACTATTAAAAAAATAGATATACGTTATTAATATTAATATATATAAAAGAATAAGATAGAGCTAAGCTTAAAAATCTTAAATTTATATATATAGTTAATTATAAATTTAAGTTCTCTACGCTTTTTAACTAGATCGACTAAGTTATCGCGAGTAAATAAATTAATATTTATAATTATTAAAATCTCGCTCTTCCGCGCCTTTCTTATTAAAAAAATAGATATATATTATTAATATATAGAATAACTTTTTTATTTTCTATTAAAATTTTAAGATTTTTTTTTAAATTATAAAATAAAATATAGGCTTTTAGATAAAAAAAGAATTTCTAAATTTAGTCTTATAGTTATTAAAGCGTAAGGAATTCAAATATCGCTTATTAAAGTTCGCTCGACAGTCGAATAGTCGAACAGCCTTAATTAAAAAACAGATATACATTATTTGATTTTAGAATAACTTTTTTATTTTCTATTAAAATTTTGAGATTTTTTTTTAAAATTATAGAACGAAATATAAGCTTTTAGGATTTCTTTTTCTTAAATTTAGTCTTATAATTATTTAAGCGTAAGGAATTCAAATATCGCTTATCAAAGTTCGCTTATTAAAGATCGCTTACCTATTTACTCGATAGCTCTAATTAAAAAAATGATTATGAATTTAATTTATAGGCCTTTACTCGTCTTTTACTAGATTAATAATAAGTTATTACTATTATTTTAGATATTATTAAGCGATAGTATCTAATCTTTCTACTTTCGAAAGTCGAAGAACTTAATCTTAATAATAGCGTAATATTAAGTAGAAGTATATTACTTAAAAAGAATAATAGCTTTATTTAATTAAGTATTTTAATCGTTTTATTATAATATTTAAATTATAGATAATAGACGACTCGATAAATTAAAAGAATCTATTTATTAAGTCTATTTTAAAATTCGTCTATTAAAAAATTATAAATAAATAATCTATAGCGATTATAGCGAGTTTAATATATTAAATAACGTTAAATTATTAATTATCTATTATAGAGTTAATCGAGTATAAGATTATCGCTTTCTAATATTCTTTATATATTATAAATAGATTTAAGAATAGTATTTAGTTTATTAATTTATTATTAGAAGACGATATCTCTTAGATAGTTAATTATTTAATTCGAAGGCTTATTAGAAAGCGCCTTAAATTTAATATTTTTATCTTATATATATATTTATAATATAGCTCTTTTATTAAGAAGCGACTATAAGAGATTAATTTATAAATCTTATTAAAGAATAGTTAAAACTATTAATACTTTATACTTTTTATATTAACGTATCTAATACTTTTAAAGAAGATTAAGCTATCGCTTTATTTTATATAAGAAGTTAATATATTTTAAGATATTCTTAAATATTATATTAAGCTCTAATAGATTTAGAATATTCTTTATTAATAGTTATAGACTATAAGAGTTATATAAAACGAAGAAGATATATCTAAATCGAGAATTCTATTAAATAATATCTTATATTATTTATTTTAAATTATATATATTCGTTATAAAGCTATTTATCCTCTAAAAATCGTCTTTAATAACTTCTTCTATTATAGAAATTATTTATCTTATTATATTTACTATAGAAAGCTTTTAATATTTAATCGATTTAGTATAAATATAAAAGAATTAACTCTTAGTTATTATAAATATATTAAGAACTTTATTATCTAGCTAATTATTACTCTTATTATTAACGAAGTTTAAAAGTTATAATTACTTTAATAGCTTATCTATCTTTTCTTAAGTCTTAAGAAAAGTCTTATTTTATAAACTTTCTTCTATTTTATCTCTTAAAATAAATATCTAATTAGTTTCTGTGAGGATGGTTCGGCTATCACTGGGCCATAGGCTAAAAGGATCGAGGATATCGCGCTTCATGGCCGATACGCCCTATTTGGCCCTATAAGAGTCTACTATACCCCCGCTATAGACTATTAAGGCAATCACGCCCTTACAACTATCCCCCCCCTTAAGGCCGCGTCCTCGCGGCTCTAAAAGAATTAATTCGAGGGCTTTACCCTGATCAGCGGTTCTCGTAAAGCCGACTTGGGGCGCAGTGCGCCATCCTTGCTCGGTTGTCCGAGACTTCTTGTCTCAGAGGTCTCTATGGGATATGAGATACGTTACAGGGACCCTTTCGGGGTATGTCCCTCGGTACTTGTGTACCGAGACTGCTTGCCTTAGAGGTCCCTATGGGATATGAGATACGTCACAGGGACCCTTTCGGGGTATGTGCCTCGGTACTGGTATATCGAGGTTCGATTACCGAAAGCCTCAGGGTACGGAACTATATCGCTTCTGGGAGCCGGTACCCGGTAAATCTGGAACTTTTGCCCTCTGGAAAATGTTTTTCGCCCCGTATATAACGGGGTTGAACCCTCGAAATCAGCGGATATACCCCGTAGTGGCTAGCCTTCCCGGGGTTAGTTAAGCCTCGGAATTTCAGCGCGATATAGTTGTGAGGATGGTTCGGCTACTACTGGGCCATAGGCCAAAAGGATCGGGGGTATCGCGCTTCATGGCCGATACGCCCTATTTGGCCCTATAAGAGTCTACTATACCCCCGCTATAGACTATTAGAGCGATTACGCCCTTATAATTTCTTTTATAAATAGCTCTTTTATAATCCTATTCTCGAAGAGATTTAATAGTCTTTTTTTATAGTAGATAGCTATTATAGCTAGCTTATTTAATTACTTATACTTATAAAAGAGCGACGAATTATTATTAAAGAGAGGTCTTTACATTTTATTATTTACGATAACTACTTTATATATTATATTATTAATATATTTCTATTCTTTTATAATATTTAAATATATTATATACTTTATAAGATAATCTCGCTAATATTAGATATACTTTATTAAGTTCTTCTAATAATATCGATAGCGAACTCGCTTCTTCTTCTTTTACTAATTAATAAATTATATAAAAGTACTATAGATAAGTATTTCTAATAGAAATATCGCGCGTCTAGCTATATTTAATAGTAGAATCTTAATTAAATATATAGTAATATAGAAATAAAAGCAATAAATAAATATCGAGTATTTAAAAGAAAATATAAGATTATTTAACGTTCGACTAAATCTTATATCGATTAAAATCTAATTTAATTAAACTAGCGTATTATATATTATATTAAAAGAATATTAGTCTATAATCGTTAGATAACTATTATAAAGATCAAATGTCAGTCATTACGCATCCCTAGATGGTTCCGACATCGTGAGGATTGTTGCACTAGGTTCACGGCCATTAAAAAAATTCCGGCGAAAGTACGGAGGTCGGCAGCAAAAGTCCTGCCCCCGCCAAGGTATAGGGCTGCACCTTGGTGGGGGCAGGACTTTTGCTGCCGACCTCGATATGCAGCAGTTTCAACGGTGTTGCCTGGCAAGGGTGCGCTAGAACGGGTCCACCCTTCCTAGCGCCCCTATAAGCGGGTACTATGAAGATAGAATAAGGCTACGCGAAGCTTGCAGTGTGGTTGCTGGACAGGCTCTGAAAGTAACCTACCTGGAGCTGGATTTAGGGCTTCGGGAGTCAGTTCCATAGAGATCGACCAGAAGAGGTACGAGCGAGAAGAGGGTGGACCCTTCTAAGTGTGCAGGATTCGTAAAAAGGCGCACACACCGGAAGTAGGTAGGTAGGTAATCAGCTGGCGGACGCTAAATTAGCCCCCGTGCCGTTTTATTGCCGCACCTCCCTGCCTTGAACTCTTACCTCCCAATCGTCAATTGACACAGCCCTTATGCAGTAAGCAATGGCTTGCATGGTGTGCTGATATCAGCGCTGGACGGTGACAAATTGAGTAACCTTGACCGGTGCCATTCAAGCGGGTTATGGCTGAGAAGCAAAGACTATGACGCTAACAAAGTTTTGAGCCAATGGTTTCAGCTGTTTGGGTGCCATTTCAATCGCGATAAATCTGGACACTTCGCGCACAAATCGGAGAGTACTGCTACCTACAGTACTAGATAAGTGCGGGTGGATCATCTCTCTGGCGCGAATAGGGCCAATGGCAGTGCTACCGCAGATGCAGGAGACAACAATAAGATCTGCGAGCTCTCAGCCTGTCGGCACGATCCGGCATCTTTCCCGCACCGCTTTCGACGCCGTCTTTGTCCCCACATCCTTCTGTGATCTCATGCTGTGGTCATTCAATCCATGCGGTTGGCGTCTCAGGTTGGCATGTCAGCTTCCCTGTCTCGGGGCGCATTCTACTACAATTCTACTGGGAGCCGGGCATGATTTCAAACCTCAGCCGGCGCGAATGCTTGACTCTATAAGATAGCGAGCTAAGCGTTTGAGATCTTCACCCAGGTCATCTTTCATGAACCGAACACAATTCAAGAGCCATAGTCCAGTCTAGAACTTAAGAAACATGGTAGACACAGAAGCTTTCGTCCATTAGGGTCCTCAGAGCTAAGTACAGTTTTAGGAGCCAGCAAAAGATGAAGCTTCAGCGTCACAAGCCCCACCGTCCCTTGAAGAAGGAAGGCACAAGGCTTCTCCGAAACCCCAAGCTACCATCACCGACTGGGACGGTCCAGATGATGCTGGAAACCCCCAAAACTGGGGCTCGGCCAAAAAAATCTATGCAACGATGGTACCAGCGCTATATGCGTTCACTGTGTAAATTCCTTGACTTCTTTGCAAATTTCGAAATCTTACGTACCTCAGGCTCCTCGGTGCTTCAGTTTACACTCCCGGGATATCCCAAATATCTTCGAAATTCGACGTTAGCAGGACTGCAGCAGTGCTCGGATTCAGTCTATTTGCGGAAGGACTAGGTGAGTTTGAGAGGTCAGCCCACGGATGGTTCTCTGACAGTATCACCAGCATTTGGGCCCATGATTGGGGCGCCTATCTCAGAAACCTTTGGCCGAAGAGCAATTTATCTCATCAGTCTGCCTGTCTCAATCCTGTTCACAATGGCTACGGGCCTCGCCAAAAATTTCGCAACCATATTGGTGTGCCGTTTCCTCGCAGGAACTTTTGGCGCTCCAGCTGTAGCTGTCGGTGCTGGGACGATAGCAGACATCTGGAACCTCCAACGCGGAGCTGGAGGTCTTGCCACCATACTCTTCGTTTTAGCGCCATTTGCGGGTTCGGCAATTGGTCCCCTCATTGGCGGCTATACTATTGACACGAGGAAAGATTGGCAATGGCTCATGTGGGTTCTGATCCTGGTGGCAGGGCCCGTGTGGTTGATGGCTCTCGTCGTCAGTGAAACATCGAAAAAGGAATTGCTCCGCCGTCGAGCGATTGCGCGAGGTCATACACCACCACCAAAACCACCAACTACAGCTTTCTTAAAGGCTCTGTTTGTCATAACGCTTTTTCGCCCATTGAGAATGCTGATTATAGAGCCTATTGTGAGCTCTTTATCCTTGTACGTGTCGTTTGTTTTCGGCGTCATGTTTGCCTTCTTCGATGCTTACCCGTATGTTTTTCAATCTGTCTACGCATTTAGTCTCGGTCAAGTTGGTTTGGCATTCGTGAGCATTGTCATTGGGTTTTTGTTCGCAGCCCTCACTTCAATTGTAATCAATAAGACCTTGTTTGAAAAATCCAGGAAGGAAGCTGGGCCTGGAATACTACCTCCGCCGGAGAAGAGGCTCTATGTTTCCATGGTTGGATCTGTTGGCATTCCAGTATCTCTGTTTTGGTACGTTACGACTTCTTTCGAATGTCATTGATTTGGACCCTCTAATATTTATGGAAGGTTCGCCTGGACCGCGAAAGCCTCTATTCATTGGATCGTTCCCATTCTTGCAGGGATACCCTTTGGCTGGGGCAATGTCTGTCTATTTGTAAGTGCAATCCAACTCTTTCTGACCTATACAACGCTAGCTAAGCATTAATGCGTGCCAAAGCTCGGCACCACCACCTATTTAATCGATACGTATAAAGCACAGTATTCCGCCTCTGCACTAGCTGCTAATGGTCTCTTGCGCTATACATTCGGTGCTATCTTCCCCCTTTTCACTTTTCAAATGTACTCAAGACTCGGTATTGCTTGGGCTGGCAGCCTCTTGGGGTTCATTAGTATCTTACTTCTCCCCATTCCTTGGGTGTTATACAAGTGGGGCTCCAATCTGCGCAGCAGAAGCTCGTACAAGGTGTGAGGAGCTTTGTGGAGACGTCTTAAACATGAAGTTGATGAGATATTTGCTGAAGCCATCTGGATTTACAGTAACGGAATTAAAGTCATTTGCCACCTACGGTCAGCGGCTTATCTAGAGAGACTAGCTGGTTGGAATATAGAAACTATCTGCAGCAATAACTGATGGTTCACTCTCGCTTGCGAAAACTACTAGGTCTTGATCTCTATAATAAAGCACATAGGATCGAGATATTTAGAGTATGGATTATTGGTCAGCTCTCAAACGCAGGAGCTGGTGTCCAGGGCGATCGATAGCGACGCAGAGAACACCCTTGTATTGGGGAACGTGAGAACAGGCGGACGGAAACATGCACGTTGATATCATAGCTAACCAGAATTCTCTTCATGGTGTGACACTTAAGCGGAGATGGGCAGGAATGGCAGCAGCAGAGAAATGCAGGGATTGACCCCACCTGCTCAGGCCGGTTTTCAATATCCGGACAGTCGAAGATCACAGGAGAGACCGTTCCAATCGCTACTCTTACTGTGTTGTTTAAGCTGCATGAAGCCCCGTACGGACGCTACACCTCGGGGACGAATAAAGTAAGCATTACAGATGCGTCTACCGACCAATCGCAACGAGCCGCAAGTCGGGTTCCCACATCCGACTGAATTTGGATCCTTCGACGTGGCCAACTGAAATAATAATGTCTTGCGATCGAGCTGCAGCTTCAGTAAGCGTTCGACGTGATCAACATACGCAGCTGCAGCTTACGCCGAACTTGACTCCGGACAGTCACCCTTCTACAGTCACCTCTGTCCAGAGGCTGGAACTGGAATCGTGGGCGCGAGGTGCATGACCAGCTGAAAATCTAGTAAGCGGCGGAGATGACACAAATGACCATCATTGCCGTCTCAACTCTGTACCTAGGTGGCGTGCGGAAAAGTAAGCCTCGGTGAGCTCCACTCACCCACCCTCTCATTCTCTTCTGGAGGTGCTTCGACCTATGTTCTTTCGCTAAAGGATCACGCCTCATGCACACAGCCCAGTTGTACGAGTCTCTCCGTGCCACGGGAATGCATCTTTGGGCTAGGAGATTCACTGCCCCATAATAAGATTCGGCAGCGGCATTAAGCATTTTATGAAACTGAACCTATGAGTCAGTGGCGGGTTTCCGGGTAGCTGACAGATTAATAGCTGAAGCAACGTGTAGATAAGAATCCAAGTCTTGTTCCCTACCGTCTCAGGTACTTCAAATAGTCTGATATCAGCGCTGATACCTGTCAGAAGAACTTTGACCAACTGTCCAGACGTTGCATTAGGATCCATTCAGAACATACATAGCGTCCTACTCAGCGAATCATGGAGCCAATTGCTCTTGTAGGGATTGGTTTGTCGATTACTCCTTTGTCAGGAAAATCTGCTAATGGTTTCCCAAAGGATGTCGCTTACCCGGCGGGGCTTCAGACACGTCCAAGCTCTGGAATCTACTGAAGTCTGGGCGCTCTGGTCAATGTGAGATTCCCAAATCACGTTTCAACGCGGATGCATTCTTCAATAAGGATCCCGATTTTCCGGGGAGTATCCATTCAACAGGAGGATATTTCATTGAAGATGATGTCCGCCTTTTTGAAAATGCCGTATTTGGCATTAATAACCTTGAGGCAAGCTACATGGATGCTCAGCAGCGACAATTGCTCGAAGTGGTGTTCGAATGCTTTGAAACTGCTGGCGCGACTATTCAAAATCTCTCTGGTACCAACGTTGGCTGCTATGTTGCCAACTTTACCACCGATTTTGTTACCATGCAGGCAAAAGGTCCAGAATCTTTCCATCGATATAGTGCTACTGGGTTTGGGCCTACAATTCTTGCAAACAGGATCAGTCATGTCTTCAATCTGAAAGGACCCAGCTTTGTAATGGACACTGCTTGTTCTTCATCACTCTATGCATTGCACACAGCCTGTCAAGGGCTAAGACTTCAAGAATGTGACGCAGCAGTTGTTGCAGGCGCGAACTTGGTTCAATCACCCGAATCATACATAGCGATGGTCAAGGCTGGAGTTCTTTCAGCAAGCTCGACCTCACATACTTTCGACAGTTCTGCTGATGGGTATGGAAGAGGCGAAGGTATCGGTGCATTATATCTAAAGCGCTTAAGCGATGCCATTCGGGAAAACGACCCAATCAGAGGCGTAATACGCGGGACAGCAGTAAACAGGCAAGTGGTGCAACTTCATCGATAGGCGATAATGGTCTAGCTAATTCATTATGGGGAGTAGTAATGGTGCCACACCAGGCATCACATTACCAAGCGTATCTGGACAAGCAGCTGTCATTCGTAAGGCATATGCTGCGGCGGGTCTACCTACAGATGACACTCTTTACGTAGAGGCATGCCACTCTCGAAAGACTTATGTCTTGCTTCAGTGACCGTATACTGATGATTCACTTACAGGCTCATGGAACAGGAACTCCGAGAGGCGATCCTATTGAGGTAGAGGCTCTTTCGTGCGTCCTGCAGCACAAATCTGGTCGCGCTACAATGATTGGCTCTGTCAAGACCAATCTGGGCCATAGTGAGGCCGTGAGCGGCATCTTGAGTGTCATCAAAGTCGCCCTCGCACTTGAAAATCGACTTATTCCTTCCACCATCGGCATTCGTCATCTCAACCCGGAACTCAAGCTCGAGGAGAGAAATATTGAAGTCGTTACTACCTCTACCGAATGGCCAGAAGAAATAACACCGAGAGCCAGTGTCAATTCCTTTGGGTATGGCGGAGCGAACGCACATGCCATAATTGAGTCTGCGAGTCTTCACGTTCCCGAGGCCTATAGATCCACTCCTCACACAGCCGATAATTCCAACACATATCTCTTACCCTTCTCGGCTCGAACCTTGAAATCTTTGCAGGAGAACGTTAAAGCCGTCGCCAGCTCTGGATTGACTAACCTAAACATCACTGATCTTACATACACCCTAGGATCCCGCCGATCTAGATTCCCGACCCGCGGCTACATGCTTGTCAATCCAAGCAGCTTGTTCAACAGTTCCGATCACGATCTTCAAATACTACGTCCGTCCACAGATGCTTCGCCTCGGTCTTTGGCTTTCATTTTCAATGGTCAAGGAACCCAATATCCGGAGATGGGTAGGCAGCTTCTAGACCGCTTCGCCTGCTATCGTCAATGTATCAAAGACCTCGATACAGCCATTTCACGTTCCTGTCATCCACCAACGTGGTCGATTGAAGGTTAATACGACCCCTTTTTTATCATATGTTTGGCTAATGGTGTTGCAAGACGCAATCTTAGAGCAAACTTCGACAAGCCAGCTCCACAGAGCTTCTCATTCCCAGACTGTCTGCACAGCTATACAAGTAGCGCTTGTTACCCTCATGAAAGAGTTTGGTATAAGACCAAAATCAGTCATTGGCCATTCGTCTGGTAGGAACCTGTCTTTCCCTTCTCTAAGATTCAACCTGACAACTCCTAAGGTGAGATTGCGGCTGCGTTTGCGTCTGGATATCTGACAGCCGAAGAAGCCATAATGATTGCTTACTATCGAGGGCTCACTGCTTCAGAGCTTGACAGCAAAGGTACTATGCTTGCTGTAGGTTTAGATCATCAATCCGCGGAACAGCTAATCTCGAGTCTCGATATACAGGACAATGTCTGCATTGCGTGTATCAACTCTCCTAAAAGTACTACCATAAGTGGTAACGTCAGTACAGTCGAACAGCTGTTCTTAGTTTTGCAAGATCAAGGAATATTTGCCCGCAGATTGGAGACTGATGACAAAGCTTATCATTCGCCCGCTATGAGAGTCATCGGTCATCGATACGAGGCTCTCTTGTCTGAGCTCAACTTAGGAAAGGATGCGGATCTTTGCGCCAACGGAACTGTAAAGATGTTCTCTTGTGTTTTGCAAAAGGTGGTCGGTAAGAGTGAGGTGATCAGTCCTCAATACTGGCGAAAAAACCTCGAGTCGCCTGTACTCTTCAGTGACACTTTGGAAGAACTTTTGCTCAGTGATGAGCATCACTTGATCGAGGTCGGCCCACACCCTGCTCTTCGCCAACCTGTGCGCGACGTTCAAGACAAAGCCGAAACGTCTGCAATTTATTTTTCGACTCTTTCTCGCTATAAGAATGACGAACAATCCATGCTGAAGCTGGTAGGCGATCTTTACTTGCATGGTCATGAGCCTATCTTCGAGAACGTCAATGAAGTAGACTCCGACTTCTGCCAGTCGCCTTCAAGGCCTCGAGTCTTACCAAACCTCCCCCACTACTCCTGGGATTATGGACCTATAATGTGGAAAGAAAGTCGTGTCAGCTCAGAGTACCGCCAGAGAGCCTTTGGCCCCCACGAACTCCTCGGCTCCAGAGTCCCTGGCGGATCGAAGACCACAGCATCATGGAGAAATCTTTTGAGGATGAATGAAGCACCCTGGCTTCAAGATCACAGATTGGGGGGGACGACAGTATTTCCTGCAGCTGGCTATCTTGCGATGGCGATCGAGGCTTTACTGCAGGAATGTCAAGCCTCTCATTACTCGTCCATTTTGTTTAAGCAAGTCCATCTGAAAAGCCTTCTAGTCTTGCCTCATGAAAAGGAAGGCGTCGAAATTTTCACGAGCATCAAGCCAAATAACCCCTCCAGCATCACATCATCGAATTCATGGTGGGATTTTGAAATCGCCTCATATGCTGCAAATGTTTCAACCCTTCACGTCAACGGCTCCATCAGAATCTCTACTGATGATTCTCCAATGAAGCCGAAAACCAAATTCTCGGAGGACTCGTTCGAAGAGCAAGCCTCGCGGACGTGGTATGATAAGTTGAATCGAGAAGGGCTTTGCTTCGGGCCGGCGTTCAGATCATTGTCGCAGATCTTCACTGATAGATCAAAAAAGATGTCATGTGCTGTTGCAAAGACGATTCTGTTTCAGAAAAACGATAAGCCTTTTGGTCAACGTTCGAGCTACATTGTGCACCCAGTGAATATCGATGCAATGCTACAAGCTGGAATTATAGCCTCGGCGTCTGGGACTGTCGGTGAACTGCGCAGCAAGATTCCAGTTCTAATTGACTGCTTGAAGATATCAGCCGCAATACGTTTGGATGCATCGAATGACTTTTCCATCCGGGGGTCTTCTGAGAGCGTGGGGTTCGGGACTGCGATACTAAGCGCAGACTTTGAGAGCCGTACAGGTCAGCATCTGATGCAGATGAGTGGCGTTCGAGTCGTTGCCTATGTGGACAGCTTGCTAAACAAGGGGACTGTGGCGGAACGTCATCCAGCATTAAGGATCCTTTGGAAACCGGACATCTCCACATTTGAGAGTACGTGTGTGCCAGAGCTTACAAAATGCATTAGAAGCTTCGCCTCGCAACTTCCAGTGGACGTAGGTAGCCCAGAAGCTCCAAGGATAGCTGCAGCTATAGACCTGTTAGTACACAAGAATCCGAGAATGCGCATCCTTGAGCTCAGCAGTACTGCTAGTAGTCGATTAGCGGGTCTCTTAAACATAATAGGTATCGGACCACCGCAGAAGCGATTCGAATCGTACGTGAAGTGTACCCTCGATCCAACCGGAGGGCTATCGAGTCACGAGGTTGCAGGCAATCTCGCAGCTGATGAGAGAGTTATCGACTTCACGCCATGCAAACTTGAATCGATCTATGACATCGTGATTGTGACATCCGTGGGTCCCCCTGGGAAAGTATATATATTCCGCTGACGTAGTGTGCGTAGGATACTGCGGACACATTCGATATGTACCTAGATCACTTATCTAGCAACATAAGCGTGAATACCATATTTGTGTTCACGACAGGCTTTTCTTTTGATCCATCCTTGTTTGAGCAGCCTCTCGACATACTGCACACAGATTTCGAAGATTCGGACGTGAACATAAGCATAGCAAGACCGTCTCAAAGATCGCACACACTGTTCGAATCTAGCAAACATAACTATATAATGGTAAGCGCATCGAAATTGGGTGTTCTTGAAAGCGTATGGAAGACTAACCACGACGTTCTATCTATAGATCGTGGCAAATAGAGACAATCCCTTGAATCATCTTATTGCTGCGACATTGTCCGAAGCTCTTGGATTTGACGTCCAGCAATTGTCTTTAAATGAGGGACCATTGGGTACTGTAGCACCGGGCTCTATTGTTATTACAACTCTTGAACTTGAAGAGCCTCTCCTAGCAGATATGACCGACCATCAAATGCAAATGGTCAAGCGCATGATCGAAAATGCGTCAATACTTCTCTGGGTAACAGGTGGAGCCCTCTTCAAGGCCCAACGCCCATTATTTGCGCTCGTACTGGGTCTAGCTAGGACAGTGATGCTAGAACGACCGGCATTGAAAATGCCAGTCCTGGACTTGGACAATACGACTCTTGACTTGGCTATTTCAGCTCAAAACGTTGTACTCGTGCTTAGGCAGGCAATGCACAGCCCCAGCCCCGAGTCCGAGTATCGGCAGCAGGATGGGGTCTTGCATATTAGCCGTCTTACTCCGGACCGCCTGGTAAATCAACAATTCCGACAGACAAAGAACGCCGAGCTCGCCTCGAAGTCGCTTGAGTCAGCCGGCAACTGCCAGCTCAATATTCGAGATGTTGGACAAATAGACACCCTTCATTTCAAGCAACAACCGGCGGCTGCTAGTGAGTTACCAGAGGGAAACCTGGAAGTGCAAGTAAAGGCTATTGGACTGAACGCTAAGGTCTTGATCCCTTGGATTGCTTCACGGGCAAGCACTGACACCTGTGTAGGGCTATTATGCTGTCAGCAGCCGAACAGATACTAAGAATTCTACCTTTGCGTTGGAGTTTAGTGGGATAGTGACCAGAACAGCTTCCAACAATTCAAAGTTCATGCCGGGCGACAGAATAGTTGTAATGGCACCTTCTCAATTTGCGGCTTACGAATGGGTTCCGGAGTTTGCATGCTGCAAGCTGCAACCTCACGAGGAATTTACTGTATGTTGTGGCGCGTTCAGCTTAAAACTCTGTCTGACTTGAGACCGCAGACACTCTCAACCGTTCCGCTTGTTTTTTCGACTGCACTCTACGCTTTGGAAGATCGTGTCTCCTTACAATCAGGAGAAGTAGGCCTCGATTTGATCAAGCGATTGGGGTTGCGCTAATAGGAAGCAGACGATTCTGATACATTCCGCGGCTGGTGGACTTGGAATGGCGGCTGTTCAGATTGCACAACTCAAAGGTGCCGAGGTGGGTCAGACAAGCTTCAGCATGTTCATCTCATTCTTACGATACTGTATAGATCTTCGCTACTGTTGGCACAGATGAAAAGAAACGGTTTCTGGTCGAGAAGTTCAATATCCCAGAGGACCATATTTTCAATTCTCGCAATTCATCTTTCCGTTCTGGTATTCTTGCCGCAACAGAGAATCGGGGTGTTGATGTGGTTTTGAATTCCCTGACTGGAGATGCCTTTCAAGATAGCTTGCAATTATGTGCAGAATTTGGCCGCTTTGTGGAAGTTGGCAAAATGCCTTCATCCGAGTACGGAAGCTTGGACAAGCAAATCTTCTCTCGAGGAGTCACCATCACGGCCTTTGATTTGACCAGTCTTTATTGGTCCAAGTCTAAGGCTAAGCGTCAGATCTGGGCAGAGTAAGTGGGCCCTCAGGGGATCCCCGTATGAAAAGATGGCTAATTCTGTCAACAACAGCCTTTTGATCCGCACACTCCGTTTACTCAGGATAGGTGATATTGAGGCAATTAAGCCGTTGAAGATCTTCAGTGCCTCAGAAGTCGTGCAAGCCTTCCGATACTTTGCTCTCGGCACTCGTCTAGGAAAAGTCGCCATCTCTTTCGAGGATCTCCAGACACAGATACAGGTAAGCAACGAGTGTTGGAAATGAAGTTTCATCACTCACAGCGACTCAGGTTCTTCCTATCAAATCCCATTCTACCTTCAGCAACGAAAAGGCATATATATTAGTCGGCTGTCTTGGTGGGCTAGGTCGAAGCATGTCCCGTTGGATGTTGGAGCGTGGAATGCGAAATTTCGTATACCTAGGTCGATCCGGAACCGATAGGCCATCCGCAAAAAACCTTGTACAGGATCTTGAGGCAGCTGGTGCTAACGTGATAGTTGTCCGTGGGGACGTCACAATTTTTGGAGATGTTGATAAGACGATTGCAGCTACACGTCGAGTTATAGGTGGCGTTGTGCATGCTGCAATGGGTATACATGTGAGGACCCAGATTGACCGACCACTAGCGGAGTGCTGAGCATTGCCATAGGTCTCTTTGTTTACAAACATGCCAATTTCCACCTGGCATCAGGGTATAAATCAGAAGGTCCAGGGCGCTTTGAACCTGCACAACGCTCTTCGAGGACGAGATAGCGGTCTCGAATTTTTCCTCATGCTGAGCTCCATCACTGGGAGTATCGGCACGGCCGCAGAAAGCAACTACTGCGCTGCTAACGCCTTCCTTGATTCTTTTGCGGGTCATAGACGCAGCCATGGATTACCGGCGACATCACTCGGCTTGGGTATGATTTCAGAGATCGGCTTTCTCCACGAGAACCCCGACATTGAAGCCGCGCTATTGCGGAAAGGTGTTCACCCGTTCACAGAAGACGAACTGATCCAGATCATTGATATTGCCCTTACTCCACCACCAGAAGAGCTGGTTTCTGACTTCGATCAAGGCCTCGCTGGGAATCACTATGGCCAAGCTCATTTGCTCACCGGCCTTGAGCTGTATGGCTTCCAGACCATCAGAGATAAAGGCTTCAAGCGGGGGACACAGGTCCTTGAAGACCCACGATGTGCCATCATTGCTGGCGAATTTGCGAATTCAAGCGACTCGGACCATGGTGAAGGTGCCGAAAGCCAGACCGATAATGGCCTTCCTCAAAGCGTGGCCGCCGGTATTACATCTTGCGAGGAAAATGCCGTCCCCAATGAAACATTGCTCACCGCGATTCTGGCAATCGTGACAGAGAGACTTGCTACCCTGCTACTGGTTCCACCGGCTCAACTTCAACAGCATATGCACTTGGCAGATTTTGGAGTTGAGTCCATGCTGGCAGCCGAATTCCGGGGAGACATGGTCCGAACGTTTGGTGTTGACGTCTCATTTGCTATGCTGCTGGATCGTAGAACGAATATAGATATGGTGGTAGACATGGTCGCTGTGGATCTATTGGCTCGCAAGGTCAAGAGTTGAGACATAGAATTCCGCTTCTATTATGTTACGAGGATTGGTAATTGCCCCGCTTGGTTGGAGCGGTAATAGTCTGGGTCCACCAAGCTTGTTAGCTCGCTACAATCGAATGGAAGGTACGAAGTACAGAGATAGAGACTGATTTCCAGTGTATTTAGACCGGAGCAGCCCGCCTGCATGCTGTTTCCTTATGGTCTTCATGGTCTTTCAAGATAGAGCTTAGTCTGAAATCGCAACATATTATGATACTGAGTTTCGGCTTGGCGGCCACGGAGGAGAGGGAGGCTCGCGTCTATTCTCGGTGTCACCCATTAATGCAACACCCCCATTAATGCAATACCCTAAAATCCGATAAATCCGGCGCATCGAGAGGGAGGATGCGAATACTGTGTGATGCTGATAGAAATCTGCCCCCCCACTCAGTCCTTCGCTTGAAAAACCCACGCGGGGCGGCCGCTTTAGCGAGAGCTCCTCGGTGAACCCACTCGATCTCTTATCCTTTTACGGTACTCTTACATTCTAACATTCTTTCACTCTTTCACTCTTCTATTCTTTAATCTCTATTTTTTTTCTCTTCTTCTTTCTTATTACTCTATATTCTTTCTCTTCTTATTCGAGTTTTTAAAGATAGTAAATGAAAAACGAAACGTTGAAATAGCTTTAATATAGATTAATTTAGATCTCTTAAAGAATATCTCGAGTTATTTAGAGCGCCGTTAAGACTAAGTAAAATAATTAGAGAATAATTACTTTTCTTTTTATTATAAAGTCTTACTTAGTCTTAAGAATATTATATTAATTTAAAATATAGCGCTATTCTATATTTAAGCGAAGATTAAATCTCTTTATTAAGACTTAGTCGACTTATTTTCTATTTTATATTTAGAAATAATAATCTTTTATATAAAGTTTTAAAACTTAGAAGTTAAGTAACTTATAAAATTTCTAAAGTAAAAAGTAAAATTATAAAATCTAAGTTTTATTAAAGATATCTTTTTAAGTAGTTAAATAATTAAATTAAATATTCTCGCTTATTAAAGATCTCTTCTATCTTTAATTATTACTTTTAAAAATTAATAATAATATACGTTAAGATATTATAGCGAAAGCGAGATCTCTAATAAGTATTTTAAAGACTCTTATAGAGTTAATATTATTAATAAGTTAAGCTAATTTATTTAAAACGACTATTATTTTAATAGATATTAATATAAACTTATTCGAAAAGCTATTAATAGATAATAAAAAGTTAAAAAATAGTTAATAACTCGTTAATATTATTAAAATAACTTCTACGTTAATAAATAAGTAATTATCTACGTATCTCTAAAATTTAAAATAAAATAATTAAATGAAGAATTTACTAGAGCGGAGAATATAAGCTCTTAAAGCGAAAAAAAGAACTTTCTCTCGTAGAACTTAAGCTCTTAAGTTATTATAGTATTTATTAGAATTTTAGATATATAATATCATCTGCAAATCTGAAAAGTTCCTGCAAAATTTGAAATTGCTGATCGCGCGTATATCGCGGAAATCATAAAATCCGCCGGATTAGTAAATCTGATTAGAATCCGCTTAAATTCTATCGATTTAGTAAATCTAATTAGAATCCGCCTAAATTCCGTCGGTTTAATAACTATTTTAATCTTTTCTATTAGTTCTATTAATTTAATAATAATACGTATAAAAAAAGAAAAGTTCTAATAATTAACGTTATAACGATAAGATTCTATAGCGATAAGTATTAACGCTAACTTAAATTTAGTTATAGAATTAAACGATTTAATAAAATTAGTCGCGTAGATAATACTCTAATATAGCGTATAATAATATATATATTAATAATAATATATATTAATATTATATATATATAGAATAATACTTAGAGTATATTAAAGTGTATTACGTAAAATTTTTGAAGTTATTAAAAATTTTTGAAGTTGCTAAACTAATAGAACTGGCGGAAAGAATAAGATTAATTACTAAATTGGCGGAAAGAGTTAGATATAGATAAAGTCTATTAAATAGACTAAATCGTACTTATGATACGAACCCGACGGAAATCGTGCGGAAAGAAACTTTTTAGATTTGTAGATGATATAGAACGAACGGATTAATTCTCTAAAACCTCTTCGAGATTAGATTTTAAATATAGTATAAAATTAGATAACTAGAAAATATAGTAGCTAAGATACGCGGAGGCTAAAAATATAATAACTGAAATACGCGAAAGTTATATAAGAAATAAAGCTATATATAACATCTGTAAATCTGAAAAGTTCCTGCAAAATTTGAAATTGCTGATCGCGCGTTTGTCGCGGAAATCACAAAATCCGCCGGATCAGCAAATCTGATTAGAATCCGCCTAAATTCCGCCGGTTCAGCAACTATTCTAATCTTTTCCGCCAGTTCTACCAGTTTAGTAGTAATATATATAAAAAAAGAAAAGTTTTAATAATCGACGTTGTAATGGCAAGGTTTTACGATAATGAGTATTAACGTTAATTTAAATTTAATTATAGAATTAAACGATTTAATAAAATTAATTGCGTAGATAATACTTTAATATAGCGTATAATAATATATATATATAATGATACATATGTTAATAATGATATATATTAATATTATATATATATAGAATAATACTTAGAGTATATTAAAGTGCATTACGCAAAATTTTTAAAGTTATTAAAAAATTTTTAAAGTTGCTAAATTAATAGAATTGATAAAAAGAGTTAGATATAGATAAAGTCTGCTTAATAGACTAAATCGTACTAAATTATACTTATGATACGAACTCGACGAAAATCGTATGAAAAGGAACTTTTTAGATTTATAGATAAACTCTTATTAACGATAAAGACTATTTTAGTCTTAAATAATAATAATAGATTATTTTAGCATTCGATAATAATAGACTATTCCAGTCTTACTAATAGACTATTTCAGCCTTCGATAATAATAAGCTATTTCAGCCTTCGATAATAATAGGCCATTTCAGCCTTAACAATAATAGGCCATTTCAGCCTTCGATAATAATAGACTATTCTAGCCTTCGATAATAATAGATTAGTTCAGTCTTCGATAATAATAGATTATTTTAGTCTTTTAATAATAGTTTTAATAATAATAGATTATTTTAGTTTATTATAATAGTAGAAAATTAATTACTATTATTATTATAAATTTATAAGTTAAGTATAAGATAATTAAGATTTTATAAAGAAATCTATTAGAAAGTAATATCTATTAAGACGCTAATATAGCGTTATCTTTTAACTCTTTATTTCTATTATTTCTATTATATTTATAATAGATATTAATAAATAAAAAAAAATAACGCCTTCGATACTTAATATAGAAAGTAAAGAAAGTTATTTTTTTAAATAAAAGTACGATTTTTAAGTAGTAGAGAAAGATCTATTCTTTAACTTTTAATATATTATTGATTTAATCTTCTAAGTCGTAGTCTAGTCTAAATTATTATCTTATATTCTTCGACTAGTTTTATAATATCTTTAAGATTATCTATATTATATTATATATTATTTTTCTTTTTATAATTCTTCTACTTAATTAAATATTAAGTTTTATCTCTAAACTCTTACTTTTCTAATAAGATTTCGATTTCGTAGATATCTATAATAATATTATTTCTATCGATTTTAGAAGTAATAGTAATATAAGTATATATATAAGAATTCTCGTTATTAATAGATTTTAATTATATTATTAAAATAATTAGATAAATTCTTATTAGAGAAGAAAGCTTAAATTAATAAATAAGCTTTTTAATTTTATTAAGAATCTTAAAAAAGCTAATTCGCTAATTATAAAGTTTATAATTATTTAAGCTAGAGATCTTATATTTATAATATAAGCGTAAAAAAACTATTTTTTTAAATATATTAAGAGCTTTATATATACTATTATAATATATCTTAATTATAATATTAATAAAGACTATTAAATTCTCTACTTACTTTTATTTTATCTATTAAAAACGATTAAAATCTTCTTATAATAATTTAATTAATATATTAAAAGTATTATAAACGTTAAATTTATAAAGAATCTCGTTCGATAATATATCTATAGACTAATTCTTAGAATTATTTAAACTATCTATAGAATATAAAAGTATAAATATTTAATTAATTTTAAAATTAGGCTTTACGCTACGTAACGAGATAAGAAATCTTAATAGAATTTCGAGAGGAGTTAAGGTCGAGATAAGGTTTCGAATTAGAATTTCGAGTTTTCTTAAAACCTCGATCTCGTTTCAAAATAAAGCGAGATTTTAAGATATATTTTATTATATTATTAACTTTATTATCATAACTTAGCGTTAAAGAATATTTTTATATAAAAATTTATTATAAGATATTTATTTAGCGTATATCTATAATAAATAAAAGATTTTAATTATATTTCTTATAACTCTTTAATTTTAATTATCTTTCTTATTAATATTAATATAAATTTATTTTAGAATATTAGTATATATAAAAGAATAAGATAGAGCTAAATTAGAAAATCTTAAATTTATATATATAGTTAATTATAAATTCGTTAGATCTACGCTTTTTAATTAGATATCGCGAGTAAATAAATTAGCGTTCGTAATTATTAAAAAAATAGATATACGTTATTAACATATAGAATAACTTTTTTATTTTCTATTAACTTTTTAAGATTTTTTTTTAATTATAGAACGAAGTATAAGCTCTTAAATTAAAAAAGAATTTCTAAATTTAGTCTTATAATTATTAAAGCGTAAGGAATTCAAATATCGCTTATTAAAGTTCGCTTATCAAATTTGCCGGCAGCACTGATAAAAAAATAGGTGTACATTATTTAATTTTAGAATAACTTTTTTATTTTCTATTTAAATTTTAGTTTTTTTTTTCAAATTATAGCCCATAGCTTGCGCTTTTCAAAGATGAAAAAATTTCGAAATTTGGTCTTATAATTTTTCAAAGGCAAAAAATTCAAAAATC